CAAGGTGGGGGGCTGCCAAGGTGGGGGGTGTGGGTGGGGCTGCCAAGGTGGGGGCTGCCAAGGTGAGGGGGTGTGGGCGGGGCGGGACAGAGGTCACGGGGTGGTGTGGGGATGAAATCAGGCTTGGGGATGAGACAGCATCAGGGTGGGGTGGGTGAGATCAGTGAAATGGGAGCCAAGGTTGGGTCCAGGGTTAGTTGGAATGTGGGTTTAGGCTGAGGTTGGGGTTAATATCACCGCTGAAGTAGGGGGTAGAGGTTGGCAGTTGATGTTTGGCTTGAGTTGATGTTAGATGGGTTTGGGGTTGAGGCTGAAATTGAGGTCAAGGTTGGCATGAGTGGAAGTTAGTGAAGAAGGTGGGTGATGTAGCTGAGCTGGGTGGTAGCGCTAGAGGTGAGGAGGGTCCGGGGGTCGGGTTGGGGCTGAGGTCACCAGTGTGGTTGGCAATGACATTTGCTTCAAGTGAGATTGGCATTGACCAGAGACTGGTCAGGGCTACATGTGGGGGCAGCTGGGGCTGGGTTTTGAGTTGGCGTTGCTGTTGGCATGAGGGACTGGCTAGTGCAGAACTAGTGTTGGCTCTAAGGTGGCACCCCTGGGTTAGAGTTGGAGTTGAACTGGATTGTCACGGGCTTGGGTCAGCATTGGGGATTTCAGGGCATCTCTGGCATTGTTTGGGATCCAGCCACGCTTATACCTGGGACTGGGTGAACAGGATGGTGAGCTGCTTCAGCAGAGAGCTGGGCCTGCAAGACACAGGGGTCTCCATCTGGTGCGGTCTCCCCTGTGTTTGGATGGTCATCCTGGGTGGAGAGGTCACTCATTCCAGTGTCCACCTAGGCGCCATGGGGCTCACAGCCACCCATGGTCTCCCTGGTGGGTCTTTGTGGGGACCTGGTGGCCAGGTCTCTGCCGTCTGTCACTGCCTGGGTTTCCTCCTCAGACCATCAGCAATGTGCTCCTCCAGTATGCAGACATCATCTCGAAGGACTTTGCCTCCTACTGCTCCAAGGAGAAGGAGAAAGTGGTGACCTGCGGCGCCCCTTTCCTGTCCTCACCCCACCCTGCCTAGCCTCCATCCTTAGGGCTCCAGGCTTCCCAGGGCTCTGACGTTTGGGTCTGTGTGTGTCCATCCATGTGTGAGCCACCTGCACGGATCAGATGCCTTTGTCTGACTGGCAGCGTGTGTGTCCGTGTGAGTGAGATCGGAGCACACATGTCTGACTTTGTGGCCTCCCTGTGAATTGGCGCACTTGAGTGTAGGAGTCTGTGCACGTGTGTGCAGGTCTGATTGTGTGCAGTTCTTGAAGGTGTGTGAGTTTGTGTCTGTGTGTCTGTGTCCAGATGTTGTCTGGCTGTGTTGAGTGGCTGTCATGTGATTGTATGACTGGGCGTGGCATGTGTCCATGTGTCTGGCAGTTCATGAGAGGGTCCTGTGTGTATGTGTGTGTGTGTATGTATGCACACACAGTGGAGCAAGGGCACACACCTCCACATGTCATTGCTGCCACCTGGGAGCCCTCGGGATGTTGTCTGCATGCAGAGCTTTGGGCCCAAGCAAGAGAGTTAGTGGGGACAGAGAAGTTCCTCACTGATCCCAGGACCACAGCCCCACTCTGAACCACCCGGCCCAATGGGGTCCTGGGAGGATGACCCAAGTTGTTCCTTCCCTGGCCCTGGAGAGCCCCTCCCTGCATCCCAGGCATTCCTGTGCATCTCCAGGGGGCTCTGAGGGACCCTTGCATCCAGACTCCTCCCAGACTCCATCCAAGGCCCTGGGTGAGGTGGGATGGGGGCCCTGGACAGGGTCCGAGCCTCACTTCTCCTGTCGCCCCCAGCCCTGCATCCTCATGAACAACACCCAGCAGCTCCGGGTGCAGCTGGAGAAGATGTTCGAAGCCATGGGTGGGAAGGAGGTGAGGCGGGCAGCCAGGGCCCACACACACACAGCTGGGGGGTCTCACAGTGTGCAGTGGGCACACCCACAACCCCGCGTTTGAGAAGCTGAGGTGGGGGGCACACATTTAAGGCCTGCCTGAGCTCCATAGACAGTAGCAAGACTATTTGGCAGCTTTGCCATCTGTGCCTCAGTTTTCCCCGCATCCCCTTGATACCCTTTCCCGAGTTCAAATAAGGACTTGCACAGGACTTGTGGGTGCTGGATTAACCTGGGCTAATGTCTCTTCCCCTCAGCTCGATGCCGAGGCTAGCGACATCCTGAAGGAGCTTCAAGTAAAACTCAACAACGTACTTGACGAGCTCAGCCGGGTGTTTGCGACCAGGTGGGGCAGCCAAGGGTGGTTACTGGGTACTGCGGAGAGAGCAGCCCTGGGCCTCCAAGCCTGGGCATCAGAGACATAGTTACATATGGAAAGACTAGACTCAGAGTTAGGCAGAGCTGAGTTCAAATTCTGCTACACTGCTTACCAGCTTTGTGGCTTTGGGGGCACCATCACCCTCTCTGAGCCTTTTTTCTGTTTATCTGTGAAGTAGGGTCAATGATCAGAGCATGACCCAAGGGGGAAATGGGCACATAAATACCTCAACCCGGTGTCAGGTCCGCTGTCCTTGCTCTCCACTGGGCCCAGCTCTGTGACCTGGCTCCCTGGCACTGAGGAGATGAGCTCAGGCACTCTGGTCCAGCTTCTCTCCTCTGTGCCCCAGCTTCCAACCACACATCGAAGAATGTGTCAAGCAGATGGGCGACATCCTCAGCCAGGTGAAGGGCACGGGCAATGTGCCTGCCAGTGCCTGCAGCAGTGTGGCCCAGGATGCCGACAACGTGCTCCAGCCCATCATGGATCTGCTGGACAGCAAGTGAGCTGGGCTGGGGCCAGGGGGTGGGGTGTCGAGAAGGACCACCAAGCCCTAGGGCCTTGGGTGGGGCTCAGCACTGTGTGGTGGAGCAAGAGAGGATGGAAAGACCAAGGAGCGGACACCTGGGAGGATTGGGAGAAAAACATGCTTAGATGGATGGATGGCGCTCGACAGCGAGTAGCCCGGGGAGAGCAGGCAAGGTGAAGAACTGATTAAAAGTGAAATGCTTAGACATGCAGATGGTGGATAGATGAGTGGCTAGATGGACAGACTGACAGATGGGGTGAATGAGCGGATGGATGAATGGATGGATGGATGGATGGATGGATGGATGGATGGATGGATGGTGGAAAGATGGGATGAGTGGATGGACGGGATGACAGATGGGATGAGTGGATGGATGGGATGACAGATGGGTGGATGAGTGGATGGACGGGATGACAGATGGGATGAGATGGACAGGATGACAGATGGGATGAGTGGATGGACAGGATGACAGATGGGTGGATGAGTGAATGGATAGGATGACAGATGGGATGAGTGGATGGACGGGATGACAGATGGGTGGATGAGTGGATGGATGGGATGACAGATGGGATGAGTGGATGGATGGGATG